TTTTTTTTTTTGTATTTAGTTTTTTGCATTTCGTATTTGATTGCTCTTAGATGGGAGATATAAATGCTTTTTTCCATATATTTGCTTACGTATGTGCACATTTTCCTGGGGCATGTAATAAAGACGCGTTTGGAATAATAAGTAACCGGAAACCGACTAATTAAGGTCGCCTTCACATGCATTGCATGTGCTCTTGCGTCGGTTCAGGAGGCATTCTTAGCTTGATGGATATCTTCTGTTTGTCTTACTTGCCTTTTTTCCATCTTTCTTATTATTGTTTATTCATCTATGTTGTGTATTTAATTATATTCATCTTCATCCTTTTATTTAATCTTATATTAGAACGCGGTAGTTACACATATAGTTTTAAGTTACTTATTTCACCTTATATCATTGTGGTCAAATTTTATACAGATGTGAGTAAATAAATTAAAAATAAATCTTTAATTTGTCTTCCGTATGAGAAATGACTATGAAACGACATAAGAACTTTCGATAAATCATAGCACTATAGTGGCCCATGGCACACTATTAAATAGGGTAAACTAACCTATTGTCATTCATATAAAGGCTTTTCAAAATAAGGCGTTATGTAGGAAATGATCAATAAAATGATTTTATCTGAGCTATTTTCAATAGCCTGCGTCCTTGGACAAAAACAAGTCAGTGTATCAAATTTGACCTGTAGGCTGAACATAAGAAAACAAGAGGGACGGACACGCTTAAATCAAAGCAGAAAGTGATTCTAAAACGATCGATATAATTGAAGATGGGTCTTCCTTCTGGGTGTTGCATACATCCGCACAAACTTATTGCGCCTTTGTACTTCAAATGGTATAGCGTGCAAAAACGAAATAAATTTTAATAATATTGTATTACATAAAGAATCGAAAAATGAAAGAAGTATAATAAGTTAATTACATAAGCTTAGCTAATGGTTGAGACACAAAAGCTTCTGAAACGTATTTGATTGTATGCAATTCTATACAACTAAAAGTGGATTTCGTTACCGACTCCGAAATGTACATTGAATAACTGTGAGATAGAATAAGTGCGTCTGTATTTATTTTCAAAAACGAATCTTGGCTATACCGTATTATAATTTCATAAAATGTTTACAAAATTTTATCTCTATGCTTCTTCGGGATTATAGTGCGTGAACAAAAATAAAATTATGTTTAATAAAGAACTTTCGAGAAATATGTATTGCCGTGTCGGCTGCGACGGTGTCCATTGACCATTTGATCGGAGAATTCTGAGCCAAACTAATTTCTTGACGTTGTTTCGTATACTTAAGACCACGTGGTGTCTGCTGTCGTATTTTCGAAACGCGAAAATTTTCAAGTAAGTGTTTACTTTATAAAATCTCATGTTCGAGTGTTGCAAGCAGGATGGCAAGGTTAGTACACTCTCTCATCCTACTATGCAAAATTGCAAAGATTTCGTAAGATATTAGAATAAATTCAAAATAAGTGCGCAAGGGATTTACATACAGAGTAACTTGATAGCCTGAAAATGAAAACAAGTTTTTCAAAAACTGTCTTTCAATATAATTGAGAGACAAATGAAAAAGGAATGCTTGAGCAAAAGTATCTAAAAGATTTATTGAAAGCAATAAAATTGCAATCATTTCGGTTTGTGTATTGAATATGAGATAACTTAATCGTTTCATGTACTCGTGTACGTTGCAGAATATTTTCTTTTTCTTAGACTGCATTTTACTCATGTTGTTGAAATGGTCCGGACCTATACTAAAGCATTGTTATGGAAGTTTAATACATTTAACCCAATAGCGCAGACATTTAGTTGACGGTTTAATCTTTATTCAGATTTTTTATTCTTTCTTTTAATTTATTCGATTGTTTTATTAGAATGAAAAGAATTCATCATTAAATTTATCAATTCAGATCAAATTAAATTGACAAGCATTCATAATATATAAAAAAAAACTCTTATCTATATATTAAAGAAGTGAAAGCATTTTAGTCGGGCTAAGTCGACTTTAAATACATGACACCATCTTGTCTAACACAATTATTATTTTTGACATAGAGCACAAAAATTATACCCTGTTTTTATAGGAATATACTATGGTAGGACTGTCTATTAAAAATTAGATCGCTTTGTAAATAAAGGCTGAGAATGGTTGCGATCAAGACATTTTAAAAATTGTGGTACGTATTCAAAAATCAACTTAGGTAATTTTTATATCAAATTACTGTTACTGCGGATCAAATTTCAGCATAACATATGAACTAAAAAACAAAAATTTTCGTGAAAATCCTTATATGGGGTAGAATACAAAACTGAACGTGGGTGGTTCAAATTTGGCACAGTGAGTTTTTTTATCTTAAATAACAACTATTCACAGCGAAGCGGTTTTTCTTCGGCATGTGCATCAAACTGTATCCATCGTTTCCTACCCATAGGCCAAGTGTTTATAGCAGCATTTTGCATTACCCGCGCGTTCTTTTCATTAATGTGTAATATCAAGTAAAACCCTACAACGTGGTTTTGCAATCGAATTAGCTGTTTCAGCATTGACATTGGCATAAAGCATTAATTATGATATTAATTTAGGGTCCACTTACCGGTGCCAGCAGGAATCGTGCACGTTCATTGGCTACTGCTTCTCTAGTTTATTGCATCACGATTGCAAAACTTTGATATTTTCTGCTGAAAACCGATTATTTATAGTCCTTTTTGGGAGTTTTGTGCCTCTATGTGCATAAGAGATTAAATTTATGGGCATAGGACGCATAATAATGACTCTATTGTAACTTTTGAAATGTCTGACTGTTAATGCCTGTTATCCACTATCCACTACGTCCTCTACCACTCCTTCTGATTGAGTTCACCGCATGAAGGAAAAAGGAAATTCCTCGTCACTTTCGTTTGTGAAATGTCGATTTGTAAAACTCTTTCATATATACTTTACAACCAACACATCTATTTAGTATATATCCAAAGAGCTTTTTTGTGCTTTTTCATCGTATGAACATTCAAAAACGTGTGTTTCCTTTTCCACAACACTTCCAATATTGATGCAAAAAAATTAATACAAATTATATAAAGAATAAAATATAATTTTAATAGGACTTAAACCGGTCTTGCCTTGGCAGCGAAAGCGGCGGTATTTCTATAGTCTTGGATTTTCTCCGTCTTCCTTATTAACTTAATGGCGTTGAAAATCAACTTTTTTTTCAACAAGTTTTACTATTTTAGCCGACGTTTCTTCTCTATGGGCCACTTTAACAATAAATTTCCTTCACTCAGCAACCAAAAATTGCATTTGTATTCCCTTCTGGGTTAACAGTATGAAGGACGCACTCTTCATAAAATGCATTGATTGACAAAACGAAAGAAAAAACAAAAAAACGCTAAAACTAATGTCTCTAACGGAATTTTATCTTCATAGCAGCGTTAAGCTGTTATTCTAACATAAAAATAAAATCCGTTAACTATAAACTTGGCATATTTTAGCCCAAAATTTTTGTTGAGAAAATATTCCTAAAACAAGTAAGAATATGGTAATTGGGCAAGGCCGACTACTAAATAATCTACTCCACTTCATCTGCTACAATTATTCATTCGTTTTCGTGATAATAGAACAAAAATTATACGTTATTTTAAGTGAAGGCATATTTTTCATGAAATCTTTTATATTGGATGATGCTGAAAATGTCAACAGACATTGGACCAAATTTAACAAATTTGACTTTTAAAAAAAAAGATTTTATTATTTTTCATTGTACATATGATGAGGTCAAAAAAATAGACTTATGGCTATCCAAATTTCCTATGGCTAATTTTTGGGTTGGACTGCTAATATAAACTAATTTTCATTATAAAAAAAAATTCGCTTACCATTAATGACGACCCATATATGGTGTGGGATTAAAAAAAGAGGCCCAAGCAGTTCAAATGGGGTCAAAATGCTCCTATCCACAAATTTTCATCGTAAAACCTCAAAAGTCGGACATTTTTGACATATAAGGATTTATATATCATGAGAATCTTCATGTGGATTAGTGTCCAAAATATAAACCTACTTCGTCCAAATTCGGTATAGTTAAGTTTTACGTTAAGTCAATTTTATGAATCGATTTTTATCACAAAAAATTGAATTTGCTTGTCAAACGGCTTACCATTAATGACAATCCATACGTGGAATGGGGTTAAAAATATCGATCCACGTCGTTCAAATAGGATCTGGTTAAGCTTTATGTGAGATTATTTTTAGGCATGAATTGAGCAATTTTCATCATACAGAATACTGAAAACTGGAATGTTTTATGATGCGAAAATTCAGTTTTTGTTGAAACAGTTATATGGAAGAGCAGACTCAAAAAGTTGCCCATTCCCATCCGAATATTTCGTAACAATTACAATTTGAAATGAAATCCTCTTATTAAGCGATTTTTGTCAACGTATTTTAAAAATTGCAATTTTTTTTCTTTTTGTGAATTTTTAAAATAAAACAGTATATGGACAGACGGCCAGATAAGCTTTAATCGATTCAAAAACTGATTCGGAGGCTGTCGTTACCTCCGCTCACGTTATATCGGCACAAAGTTAATACACTTTATACAAATAGTATAAGGGGCAAAGGTTAGTCAAGCAAAGGTCAAAAACTATTTGCAATTTTGGGAAATGTCTCTTTCGATACTCTATATAATAGGTCGAGAATTAAATTAAGCACGTCATGGCAATTAAGTCAGACATTTTAGATGAACGAGCAAATGAAAGGGCTTTAGTGGAAGTGTTTGAATATTCTAATTATTATTGTTTAACTCAAAACAAAAAATTTGTTTTTATGCAATTTCGAAATATAAAAACTATTATAAATTACTTTACGTGTCCATAAATATAAAGTGTTTTATTGAAGTTCACCAAAATTGCGTGACTGTCATGTTAATTTTGTTAATATAATTGAAATTTACGCTTCGTCTTCACTTCACTTAAACTTTAGACTAGCTCACAAAGTATGATGATAATAGTGTATTATTTATATCATTTCATTTGTAACACTCAAATAACTGTATTGAATATTTCATATGCGTAAAGATATTAAGCTAAATATTCGCATATAGTTGTAAGTCAAATTCGAAAATTAAATTTAAGAATATATGTTTGATTCTCGATCTTAATGCTACCTACTTAAAAGGGAAGAACTAAAGCACACCTAAAAACACCGAAAGTTCCAGTATATCTTCAACCGTAACGTACGCTCTAGAATATATATTTTTGTTCGTTGTCTATCACTACTGGAATATATTCAGAACTGCCTATAAATTCAGATTGAAAAGGTTCTTGTTCACCTCACCAGCATATGCACCGTCAACAAAATGGCAATGTAGAAGCTAACCTCCGAGGCCAACATAACATTTCTCTGTATTACATATTTGTAGTATTCACTTTGCATATGCAATTTTTTAACGAAAAAAGAAAAAAACATAAGAAATAATTGAAAAGTTGAGCTAATAACGATTGAAGTTTCTTTTACTCTTAAAATTTACAAGGGAGCATTATATCTGTGCTGTGTTAAGTCGCATGGGTTTATTCTGTCAATGAAAACTTTGCGATCGCTATAGTTTTATGCAGTGTGTCTTTAACTGTTCTTCGCTTTCTTCGACTAATTAATTTAATTTCAATTTATACTTTTTAATTAATATTTATACCTTTGAAATCATTGAGTTCATTTAAATCGGCCGATACATGTATCTGTTCCGAGGTAAATGTGATACGTGGGTCGACTATACAAACGAAAGTTTATAGAATTTTCTCAATTATACATAAAATTATCTCAAATATATCATAGCAGATAAAAACCCATACCCACGGGAACATCTCATTTAAATATGATATTGAGAATTTGTCGTTGCAAAAATCTCATATGCAAACGAATAAAGGAAATTCAAAGTAAAAAAATCTTGTTTGTAAATGACGAAATATTAAATAAAAATGGGAAAAAAAAATTGTAATTAATTTAAAATAATTACAGGAGAGTTTTGAATAAATTGTCATTCGTATATGGCATACTTTATCCTCTCTGAGTAAAATAAACTACACTCATATCTATATGCGTATTTAGCATTATTCAGTGTAAGTTAAAGTGAACATACATTTATATAAAATATGCGATATAAGAATACTTTTCAAATCATATTTTAATTGTTTTTGTCAATAACTCAAATAAATAGCAACAATACCGAAAAGCACTATTTATATATAAATAAAGAATTGAATATCATGTTTGTTTGTTGTTGGAACATTTCAAACAGAGAGTCGAAAGCTGAGCAAGTTGAAATGAAAGCCTTAAGTTTGGTCTATATATGTTTTGCAGTTGATAGGCACGGATAATGTTTAATAATTGGCAAGACAATCCAATTTTCAAAAGCTAAATTGAGGCTCTTACTTTGGTAACGTTGCACTTAGAAGAGTCATTTGCAAATTCATTGCAAAAGTAGCCTCGATTGACCGACTGACAAACCGTAAAATATATTGCAATTGATATTTACTATCGAGGCGTGGGTGGCTATCAATTTTTTCGCTTTTCATCTTTCCGCTTCTAACGTTGTATAACGTTAAAAAATAAAAATATATAAGATATATAATATATCGGTCAATAAGTCCCGATAATAAGCAAAACAATTTTTTTTTTTTTGCAATTTTCGACTTTATCCATCAATAAGGAGTTCTTAAAGCGGAGCTTAAACTTGGATAAATATTTAATAATTGGTGCAGATCTTTTCTCCTGAAACGTATAGTGAATGTTTATTCTTTCTGATTGGACCAAAAAAAAGTAATCATTCACCTAGTATATGAATTACATCAGGTTACTAAGTTAATTAAACGAAACACTTCTTTAGCGTTTGGATGACGTTTATTAACTATTTATCTTCCATACGATTTATTTTACCTTATGATATATTTTACTTCATCCATTTTTTTCTACATATCATTAATCTAGTCAGCGGTTGTCCGTGGAAGTAAACGCGATATTTTATACTCCATATACTTTATCACATGTTTCTATTTTCATGGGAACTCCTGTGTTCAGGTGTTCTGTTATATTTCGCGATCGTTTCTCTTTACCAGAAATTTTGTTCAATTATTTAACGGTTGCGATGTGTAGCGACCGAGACGATTGTGCATCATTTTACAATGTTTGTTTCATATATCTGCTTGGGGCCGTTGTAATATATGTTTGTGAAGATATATGAATACATGTAATGAAATACTTGCAGATAAATATGTGTAGTTGAATATGTATAGCTAAATAGTGAGTCTCCCAAAGATCTCCGCTAGACTTGTATTAAATAAAAAACACAGTTTTTTCTTTTTAGAATCATAATGCGTATAGGATAGAGTTATGGGTCGAATAGCTTATCAGGCATATGTCCTCCATGACTTTACTAGCACATCTGTACTTTTTTCTACTTTATTTCATGCCTTCAGTCCAAAATCCGCACCAAACAGTGACACGGAGTGACAATCGCATGTGCCTTCTATGAATCCCAAATCCGGCAATATTGACCATTAACGAGGCCGTCAATGTGAAAATGAGCCTCGCCATTTAGGGTGATTTTGCTTTGTAGTTAAATCAATATTCCGACCATATTTTATACGAATTTTGCGAACTGTGGTCGTCGAACTTTCATTATTTTTGAAATATTGTTCAACAATGAACACGAGTTGCTCTCTGGTGTAATGCTCTATTTTTACTAGCCGCAACACTAAGAGCTGTCAAACCGTTCTATTTTTTTTTTTTTTTCTTTTTGAAGTTGCCAATACTTTACCGCACAAATGACGGAAAATTCCATTCGTGCCTTTCCTTATTTGTCGTTCTTCCTTTTTTTAAGATAGTCAATTAATAGAATGTCACGAGTATCCCAAAATACAGAGGTCATAATCTAGCCGGCCGGTTGACGTGTTTCTTTCGCCTTGTATGCCTTTCCACGTAATCCCAGGTAACTCTCGAAGATTTGCCTTAAAGCGATTACAAGAGAAGTTTTATAATATAATTGCATTCCTTCTCAAATAGATTATATTTTGAGCTTTGAACAAGCCGTAAGCCAGTAAGAGTACAGTTTTTATAAACATTAATGATGAGAATCAGAATGATTATTCAGATATCTGGTTAAAATATTTTATTTTTCATATTTTTAGAGGTAATTTCAATAAGCTCATAATTTTTTTGCAAAAACATTCAAAGTTTTGAATCGATTTTGAACTAAAAAGTTTAATATCAAACATGGACATCAAAACCTTATTGTTTGACATAAGATAAATTCCGTTAACAATGTATTTAAAGAAAATTATTTTAACGCATTTGTGTTATTGTAGTAATGTTAGTTATCATTGTTCCAGCGATTCCCTTTAAAATAAACCTGAAGACACAATCTTAATCGATTGGTGTAAGAACATATGTTCTTTGGCGTAAGTGAAATAGAAGAAACCAAAGTAAAAATAAAAAAAATGAAATATTATTAATGAAAACTAAAATTATCTTATAAATATTACATTTAATGCATGTTTTTCTTCTTTTGTTTTTTGTTATTGTTTTTTGTTCTTTTTTGTTATTTCTCTCGCGAATAAACTAAAATAAACAGATGCCATAACTTGTAAATGCGATAATGCGGGTATTGTAGGTGCTTAACAGTAGTTAACCGTTTAGTAGGTTACCAACTTTGCGAGAGAGCAAATTGAACGATACTTTTAAATAAATCGAAGAGCGCTTGGCTCGCATCAACCTGAGCGGTGATAGTCTTTGTGAAACTGAACATATTAAATAAATAAAAATTGTAAACGCATAAAAAAAATATGAAGAATTTCCTGTTATTAACCAGGTGAGTAGTGAGTATGTTTTTTGTACATATTTCTCATTACATGCAAGTCTAAGTTGATTTGGGCATGTTTTGTTTTTAATATAGACCATTTGAAAATGGGATTATTGTGCGTGAACACATCTGCTGTTTCCTGAGCGAATTTTTTGGTACCGGTATGTTATTATTTTTCGGTTGCATGGGCTGCGTATATTATGAAGTTAACAAATATAACCAATGGCTATCAGCTTTGAATTTTGGTTTAGTTGTGCTAATCGTAGTCCAATGCTTTGGCTGTTGTTCCGGTGCTCATCTAAATCCTGTCATTACTATTGCCGCTTGGATATATAATATGTTGTCGGCTTTTGCTGCTTCACTATACATATTGGCACAATTTACCGGTGCTTATTGCGGTTATGCGCTGTTGCATTTGCTATTACCGAGCTCCTTGTGTACGCCGAATTTGTGCATGACAACGCTACGTGTAGATATAACAGTTTGGCAGGCTATAGGTATTGAATTTTGTACAACCGTAGCCTTGGTTTGGGTAACATGCGCCGTTTGGGATCCACGCAATATCCGAATGCAAGACTCTGCCGCTATACGAATTGGGTTAACAATATCAGCTTTGGCTTTGGCGGCGGTACATATAATATGCAAACATAATTAGTTTTTCTTTTATACCCATTACTACGAGTCTATGCAAAATTTTAAGAATCGACATATAGCGAACAGAGCTAAGCTTCCGAGCCTATAGAAACTGAATATGTCCTTAACTCGGCGGAATTTTTCGTTTGTTTATTGATTGAAAGAACGCCAGCAATTGCGAAATTGTGAGTAAACAAACAATGCTAGTAACTACTTGTCTTTAGTCACTTAAAATGACGACTTACCTTTTGAGAAATCGCCATTTTTTTGACAGTTAGATTTAAAAAATAAAAATATGAAAAGATCGAATCGAAATACGATTACGTACCTAATTGGCTCGGTTGCTATATAAGATAAAGTTGAAAGTATTATTGCGAATGAATGGAAGTAAGTCAGTCGTATCTTTTTGCATTTTATTTTTCGAATTTTTTTCTTTTATAATCGCTGGTGATGGGTATTAAAAGATTCTAACCCAGTGTGTAAACATTTTGTTTTAGATTTAATATTGTATCCTTTTTTTTGTTTTTGTGTACTCAGGGGCCTCTTACTGGTGCTAGTATGAATCCGGCACGTTCTTTGGCCCCGGCTATATGGCATAATTCTTATGATCACCATTGGATTTATTGGCTATCTCCAATTATGGCCGGTATATTTGCTGCCAGTTTCTACAGAGTTGTGTTTCGACGTGAAGTGGACTCAGCTGATATTAATAATCCGAAATTAGAAGCCATACAAATTCCATAAAACCTAATACGATTCGAGCGAAAATTTTTAATTGTTTATCATTTAAGTAGTTCCCTTTAAAAGTATTATTATTATGTAAATAAATCGAAATAATATAAAAATAGGTTTTAGTTCTAAGTTTTATTAGATTTTCTGACATTTTTTATTCCGATTTGTAGAAATGGAAAGAGAATGTGAAATTAAACGAGCAACAAAATTAGATTCGGTCGTGATCGAAACTTTTATGTCTATCCCCTTTATCCTAAAAAAGGCAGAACATTTAAAAGAACTAAATTTTCATGGTCTATAATAAGGAGTGGGCGCAGCTACTCTTTTTCTACTTTCAAATTAAAACATTTCGTCGACGTGTTGCAGGCACTATCCTTTGGAAAAATTTAAGGCACTTTGAAATTCTTTTGGAAATTTGTAGGCGACGTCTTCATTTTCGGTAAAGAGAGACTGTTTACCACAGACACTTCACAATTGGGCAGACGGATAGGTGGACATACGAATAGACGGACATCCCAAACTTGAAATTGATAGATTTTGATAGACAATAACATTGGGTAGGCACGGTCAATATTTTTCATTTCTGTACAGGCGCTACAGCATTGCCCATAGAACATAATGTTCAAATTTTTGTAGATTTATCTGCTGCAGCTCATGAGCAATAATCAAAAAAACCATTGTGTAAGCTTTTTTAAAAAGAGAGGTGCTCTCAGTTTACGTGTTGCTGTCCTATATGTCTTTCGAGCAATTTGGCTCATTCTCAAATTGGCATAATACACAAGTGTAAACCTAGAAGTACCCAAATTTATGCATTTTGAAGACTCAACATTTTTGAATACTGGTGTGCCGGTAACAGCGGCATATCATGGAAGCACGGAAAGTTTACAAGCTATAAAGATAAAGCATCATTTTACACATTCGTTATGGAGATTATCAGAAGCTGAATTTTTGCATCGCATTATTTTCTTTTTTCGATATTGAAAATCTGACCTGGTGGTAAGAGACTCGCCTATAATTCTGACCTTGCGGCCGTTTCTGAAGAAATCCATAGTTCATACCATAAACACGGTACGAAGTGCTTTGAGTGAAAAGCATATAATGTCAAGAAATAAAGAAATTTTTTTCTCAATTTTTTTTGTGCCTTCTGTATCCGATCAGATAGATATACAGAAATCACCCTCATAACTTTCGTCAGGAAAGGTATTAAATTCTCTTTGAGATATTAAAGTTATAGAACTGATTAACATTCCAATGGATAAATCGTCTGGTTTTTTATAAAACATTTGTTGAATTATTTTATCTTATCAATCGATTCTAAATTCAAAGTTAAGTAATCGATCAAATAACCTGTGACAGGTAATCTCAGTTGTTAGTTGAAAAACAAAACTAAAAATGATTTTATTGTAAGTCGAACAACTTAAGCCTCAGTAATTCATCTACGTCAGCAATGTTTTGAATACAATATTATCTGCTTTCAATGATAATGAATCACATTACGGACGGACAGATGAACGGATGGACATGCTCGTTCCTGTGCGCTATAAAATTTCTACACACTATCAAATAAAGAAGGCATGGCCAATTTTGTCTATTGGGGCCTTGAAAAATCAACTGGCAAGCGGGAATTCCTCTGATGCACTGCTTGCTTCCAAGATTATACTAAGCTTATAACAATCTTATCATCTGTACCTGTACAGATGTGGGTGAAATTGACCACGCCTACCCAATATTATTGTGTATCAATATTTAATTGTTTTTTCAATACCTTTATAACGCGCGGAAGCATGCTTTAAAGACTGCACAAAGTATATAAATTCTGAGTCAGTCCCAAATTCGAAATGAACCTAAGCATGACGGTCTGTTCAATTGTATAGCATCTGTGGCAAACATTCTCCGCATGCCTATGCAACCAAGAATATGAATAACTTTTCTTTTCCTCTTTGTTGGTTGTTATTCAGTGAATACGACACCTGCATCGTGTCAATTTCCATTCGTATTGTGAAAGTAGCTGCGCCCGCTCGATATTATAGAATATAAAATTTTAGTTCTTTTCTTTTTTCGGTCGTGACCGAATATAATTTTCTTACTTGTTTAAAATTAGAAACGAAAACATTTTCTTGAAAAACCAAAGGCTTGGTTATTAAATCAAATCGATCGATTCGATTTTATCTTTCAGTCTTACAAAAACCAGACATTTTCGAGAAATCTTTAAGAAAATCTGAAGCATTGTAAATAAGGGTTGATTATACGAATATTCCTTTTTTAAATAAAAATCAACTGCACTAGATTTACTGATCTTTGTCATTAAAATTTTTAAAAAACTCCTTATCGCCCGTTTGCAAGCATGTAAAACACTCTTACTTCAATTACGTAAAACAGTTGGTCGTGTAAGGTGTCTTTTTTCTTTCTTTAAATTTGAAACGCAATTAAAATGCAGTACGCGTTTAAAAAAAAAAAAAAAAAAAAAAAAAAACAAAGAGTCCAATAATATTAAAAAAGGACAAAAATAGATAGAATAAATGTATGTATTTTGCTCAAATTCGTAGATAGAATAATCAACTTAATTAAACTCGGTATCCTTGAATCAAGCGTAAAAGCTATGAACTACGTTTTGCTTCGATAAGATATATACAAAACGATATAATAAAGCTGTCGTATCGTTTGTGTCGTACATGCTGTATATTATATATACAAAATTATTCTTCTATATCCTAAAGAAATTACATTTCCAAGTGATCGACGCTTTTAATTTATGTAAAACATATTAGGAGGACCAAAGGGCAATATAACGCGGATAGGATAAGTTCGGGCTTGGACGCTATGACAACACTTAACTATAGTGACAATATATTCTGTACATTTTCTTGTATTTCTCTTGATATCGGATAACGGAGCGGTTTTCATATTAATGCTAATTTTTAAAAAAATCTTTAAGAGATTACGGAAAATTTGCGTGAAATCTCACATGTGAAAGGAATGAATATGAATTTTATTAACAAATGTGATTAGTTTACAACACCTCGTACTACAAATAAATATTCCGAGAATTCATTTCATTTTCAACATCTTTGTCATCTTACCTGGTCGTCATGTATTACATAAAAGCATAGAATCTTAGCTATTTATTGAACAATCTATCGGGTATATTGGAAGCGTCTTAAAGCTCAAACAAATTTTTTCCATTTGATTTTTTCTTATTTTTAATGCTTTGAGAGTTTATTGACCTTTTTAATTGCTGATAATTAATAAAAGAAAAACAACAAAAAACAAAAAAAAAAACCATTGCAATGATCGATTTATGTCGTTTAGTGTTGTTCGCACTAGCATTAGCAGTAACTGTTACCCTACAGCTTAGACACAGATAATAATAATAATAATAATAATGGAAAAAAAAGCAAAAACAAAAATAAAAACTTTAAAAAAACGCGTTTTTCCTTAAATGCAATGTAGCTGATGTTGACGAATTCATTTTTACGTCAGAATTATTTGCTGTTGTTACAGCCGTCGGTTGCAGTTGAATGTAAGAGGAGTAGGAAAAATCATAACAAGAAAAAAAAATATTCAATAACAACGAAATAAAAAGCCAAGCACATGCACTCTAATTACATATAAATTAAAATGAAAATTTGCTATTAATTTCCGTTTACACATAGACTAGGCAACGCTATAAAATTATTATCTAAAAAAATTGTTGAACCGATAACCCCTCAGTAGAAATTATACAAATAAATATGAATAAAAAAAAAAAAAAAAGAAAAAAAAAATAGAAAAAAAGGAAAACAGCATATTATTATCAATTCTAGTTTCTAGACTCGAATAATGACTGCAATCTCTCTCTATTGTGCACACAGACTCCATTTTAAAGCTCAATAGTGACTGATCTATTTAAACGCGAGCCAAGACGGCTACCAGTTTCAGTTTTAGTCGGTGATTCAGTGCATTTATTGAAGTTTTAAAAACGATATAGATTTGTTTTTATTTTTTATTTAAAGAAAAAAAAAAAAAAAACATTCGCAAAGAAATCATGAATCAACGACGAGTGTCCTTTGATAAGGTTCGTAGTTGATGAAAAATTTACTGAATTCGTATGGAAGTTTTATTTTTTGTTCAGTAATTTTTATTCCATAATATACGTATACACATATATATATATATATAAATATATATACGTGCTTCTGCCAAATTTTTATAATTTGTTGATTAAAAGCGAAAATAATTGCGTCTAAGTGAAGTGAATTGATATTTAATAAATTTAAAATTACATAAAAACATTGTCGTGCACAATAATGCAATCTTTTGATTTGCTATCAGTAATAATGAAATTATTATTTCTTAAAACTTAAATAAAAAATGTAGATTTGAGTTCCGACATCTTGGTAACAACCATTAAGTTCGGATTGCAGAAAACTTTTCCAATTTTTTGTCCTATCCGCTATCATTGAATGCGCTAATAATAATTATTAATATTTTATATATAAAAATCGTTCAGCGGCAGAATTCTACTGATCAAATTTCCAAATCGTTTACCCGAATGCCCGTGTAAAAGGAAAAAAGCTAAAATTATTTCGAAAAGCTCTTATTAATAATTATTTATCAATTATTTATAAATTGATTTATAGGAACTTTAAGTAATGAAAAAAAAGAACAGTTACTTAAGAACAGCAGCACAATTTCGTTAATAAGTTTGTCTCGTCCAAAACATGTCGTCTCTTTGTCGGTTCACTAGCTTATCCAGAAAGATTTGTTCAAAAACCTGAAACTGTATCTTAAAACAAATTCCCAAGCCAGGCTAGAAAATGGGCGCTTGCTACGTATGTATAAACGACAAGTTAATAATAGTTGAGTAACTTAAGCAAAGTACCGAAAAACGAAAAAATCGAAGAGTATCGTTGAGCTCATGACCTCTAGCATGAATGAAAGGAAAGATGTCGCATAAATCCTTCTGTAAAGAAAGAACTAATTCGATGGTCTATAATATTGAATGGAAAACAGAGTTGCTTTCAGTTAACATTGCACTACAGACGATATGAACCATTTTCAAAATTGCCCCGTATTAAAGAATCTTCAAAGTTAGTGAAACCGATATTTTTAAATTTTTTTGCTTATCATCGATAGACATGCCGACGGACAGATGGACGAACGAATATGCTGCGATTGATTCACAGTTTGATACTGATCAAGAATATCTATGCTTTATAGAATTTTTGTAGCTTAGTACTGGATATTGGGAATGTGTTACCAAAATGAATATAAATCGATCACTTGATGGTGAGTATAAAAATAGAGAAAGGCCTTGAAATTTGACTGATCAGCTTTGATCGATCCGTATCACTGTAAAATACCGAACGTTCGTTGAAGTCGGTACTGTCACAAATGGCATATATCTGGCATATGACTGGTTGACCATCTGACAGCATGACCATCTCAGATGTGAAAAACCTGCGCAACGAAATTTTTAAGTCGGTTCCGATACACGGTTTCCTCTTTCCGTCTGCACAACGCTTATCTATTTGTGAGTTTGCGAATAGCTTTTTTTTTTGCTTTTGTAAATAAGTGTATCGCAAATGCAACTATTTTCTTTCCTTGCATTAACAACAATTCGGTGTCGATCGTGATAATATATGTAACACGAATTGATTTAGAACATCCCATCTATTCGACTCATATATGAACAATTGTTATATTTACGTTATTGTATCGCGTGTAGACGCATTGCTGTCTACAATTACATTAAATTGGTCGTGCTAGCTGTTATCAAACCTCTGCGCGACCGTAGTAAATGGGTTCCTTTTATTGATTTGCAATATTTTTTTGAGGTTATGTCGTGACTGTCTAAATTTGCTATTAAAAATGAGTTGGGCTATTAAAGATGCAGTCCACAAAAGATCCCTCCAATTTAAAATGCTTTTCTTATTTTAGTGCTATTCCAAATTCTCTTTAAGATATTCATGTGTAATAATAACGTATATGCGATATTTATTCCAAACTGTAATCTCTTTGTTTATTGTTTATTTATCTTTTTTACATATTAATTCCGTAGGACTTTATGAATTGGTTTCAGTTGACTAGTGCTCTCTTTGTTTACTTTTCATCAGAATTATGAAAATGAAATGAAATATCGAATCGGAATGCTTGATGTTTATCAAGTTGACACTGTATCTGTATCAATCCCGAAGGTTGCATATGATAGGTGATATAACAATTTCTATCCGCGTAGTTTGGAAAGATAAGAACGCAGTTTACGTCTGCAATGCAAAACATTTCTTTGGCTAATGTCTATTATCTACGCATTACAATATGTTTGAGTATTGATTACTTTATTATGAATTGTAAGTATTGTTCATTTCATGGACCGCACTTATTATACGCATCATCAAAGAATGGAAGGTATATTCATTTCGTCAAAACGTTTGCAACCCCCAGAAGAAATCTTCAGAGACCTTAGAAAACATATATATATTCTTGGTCTAGCTGTTTGCCCGTTTACGTAACGTCTGTTATAAATACTTTCTTGGACGCCAAAATGAACCTATCGGCTTCAAATATAGGAAAAATACTATAACTTTTTGTCAAATCAACAACGATGATCGATGCAAATGATTCGGTCATCACCGAAGATAATTTTCTTGCTTGTTATTCATTGATTTTGTTATTTGCAATAAATCGCTTTATTAAAGTAAAGACAATTGCATTTTTATTAGACGCCTTTTTATTGAACTTGATCTGATGAGCATTGAGAGATAGTCAGGCATTTTGAATGAATAAAAATTGCACGATCAGAGTCTATTTTGGGTTGTTTTTTGCCCCACTGACCAGAAATTTTACTTTTTTTTTTTATTTTACACAACAGACAACTACCACACTAATATTCTACGAAGAGTATATGGCGTCAATGCCAACCAGTGAAAACGTACAAAATTTTCCTTTCCAATGCATCATATAATATATGACATATTTTTTATTTTTTTGTAGCCCACCCGTTTGGAAGGCTCTTATATAGCGGAAGGTGTTGAGATTCAGGAAGCTCGTAATACTTGTCTCTTGTTTTCAACAAAGGAGCAGGATAGCGGCGCTTTAGCGGAAATGTTGAAAATTTTCAAAAAACATAACGTGAATCTGGTGCATATTGAGTCGCGTTCGTCTTTACGCATTCCAGGTTATGAATTCTTTGTTGAATGTGATGGTAAATCAATTGGTTTGGGTAAAGCCATCGAAGAATTACGTGATCAATGCAGTTACTTTAACGTGATATCACGTGATTATAAAGATAATTTGTCGGCCGTTCCTTGGTTTCCACGAAGAATACGCGATTTAGATCGATTTGCTAATCAGATATTAAGTTACGGTGCCGAGTTGGATAGCGATCATCCTGGATTTACGGATCCAGTTTACAGAGAAAGAAGGTAAGTTATTTGTTTTTCCGCTAATAACGACATTCACCTGAACTTTATTCATTGCACTCTTTTTGTTTGAATTTTAAAAGAAAACATTTTGCTGATATTGCCTATAACTATAAATACGGCCAACCTTTGCCACATGTGGAATATACCAAAGAGGAAATTGCAACTTGGGGTATCATTTTTAGGGAATTAACTAAACTATATAAAACTCATGCTTGCAAAGAGTTTAATCATGTTTTCCCATTATTGGTGGACAATTGCGGTTTTCGTGAGGATAACATACCGCAATTGGAGGATATATCAAGATTCCTTAAAGGTTTGTTTTAACACAAAAAAGTTGAAGAACATACGAAAAGAAGAGCAAATAAAAGAAATAAAAATATGCTTTGTTTTTTTTTTTTCCAGATTGTACTGGTTTCACTTTACGTCCGGTAGCCGGTTTATTATCATCACGCGATTTCTTGGCTGGCTTAGCTTTCCGAGTATTCCATTCCACTCAATACATAAGACATCCGAGTAAGCCTATGTACACGCCCGAACCGGATGTTTGCCATGAATTGTTAGGTCATGTACCTTTATTTGCTGATCCAGATTTTGCTCAATTCAGTCAGGAAATAGGCCTAGCTTCTCTTGGCGCTCCTGAAGAATACATAGAGAAATTAGCTACTGTAAGTTACAGATCAAAGTTAAAGGACTTTTCACATTTCAATTCCAGAAATTTTTACACCCATCCCGAAAGATGTGAGGTATATTCAGTTTGTTAAACAAACAACATTGCAACATTCAATAGAAAGCCCATAAAATATGTGGATTCTTGGTCAGCATCAAATACTAAACCGATTTTAGCACGTCCATCTGTCCGTTCGAGTAATGTCAGTGATAAATATTCTTTTGATCGCAACAATGAAGATATCGACTTCACATTTGACAAACCATGTAGGAAATTTTTGCAGGAAGGTCAGCATTGAGAATGGACAAATATAGTATAACACAGACTGAAAATACCTCAGTTTTCAAAAAAAAAAAAAAAAGAAAAAAAAAGGGGTTTGTTGCTCATTACTCATAAACTGTAACAATAAAAATTTGTATATTCTTTGTTAAGGTAAAGATAGTGGGCATAGAAGATTGTAGCATAGCCGAATATAATTTTCTTACTTGTTATATAATGTATTCTTTTAGATTTACTGGTATACCGTTGAATACGGCATGTGTCGCCAAGATGGCCACTTAAAAGCGTATGGCGCCGGCTTACTTTCCTCGTTCGGTGAGTTGGAATATTGTCTCACGGACAAGCCCGAGCATCGTGAATTCGACCCAGAGATAACTGGTACCACCAAATATGTGATTACAGAATTCCAAAAGATCTATTACGTTGCGGAAAGTTTTGAAAGCGCCAAAATAAAAACTATGTAAGTGAACTGAAAGTAGCTTTAATTCTATATATTTTTCTATTCTACATATTTTTTTTTTTTTTTCTTTAAAGGCAATTCGCTAACACTATACCGCGTCCCTTTGGAGTACGCTACAATGCTTACACTGAAAGCATTGAAGTTTTGGATTCCAAGAAGCAAATCAATAATTTGATGAAAAACATCGAAACCGAATTTCAAATTTTACAAAATGCGGTCAATAAATTAAAAGTTTAATTAACGGCAGAGCATAACATAAGTAGTTAAGTTAACATATTTTAAACTTTTTTTCGTTTTCTTTTTTAAATAAAAAAACCTGAGATTATTAGATAAGTTTGCGTTTTGCATTTGTTTTTTTTTTTTTTTTTTTGAGATTTCAAAGGCAGTTAAAATTTGCCATTTCTGCGATAGCGAGAGCGATAGGTGTAATACTTTGATATGAAAGAACTAAAATCATTTTGTTGATTACACATTACAGGCCTAATTTAGTTTAGATTACATTTCGACTGTGTTAGCATTTTTAACTCATGATAAGGTTTGCATGTAATCAAGAATATTCTTAAAAGCACTTGAGGCCTGTTGCTGTAATCGACATTAGAACATTGACTATTGATAATCGAACTATTACAAAAAAAAAAAGAAAAAGTTAAGGGTTAGTTCCAAATTGTTTCTCTTCATTTGTTTACGACTAAAATATTATACAGTTAGACTTCTACGGTATAATTATAAAAAAAGAAATACATATTAAGTGAATCATATTGCGCGTAAAAAGATCGCGGAAGAATTTCGTGACGATATGTTTAGAAAAAATCAAGCACACTGTCTTTTTATTTTAAATATAAACCACTACGATCAGTAAGTTTTTACCATTTTTCTTGCAAAGCGATTATGCCGTTCGCGTGCAGTTTCTGGGATTTCAGGTCGGAGCACCCATTCAGATAATTTGGCATGAGCCTCTTTTCAAGATAGACATGATAATTTCAAGGCTTTACGGCGATTGATTTCTATATTATTCAATTGATCAGTTCACCGACACTTTACCACATTTATGCGCGTTTAATTGTGTTGGTTATTCACAGTAAAGAGTGGTATCCATCTTTCCGCCAAATTTCAGCACTTCATGATTCACAATTTCCTCTCGTTCATACCGAAAACAATGCAATACTTTACGAAGCGCCCATTCGGTCTTTGGCAAAATTTGAGACACGTTCATCTATATTGCACAAGGTGACTCACCTTTCATCACTCGTCATCATTCTCAATGTAGGAACGTTTCGCAGCTGGAAATTCGGTCTATTGAATTTTCACAATTTTCATCCACCAGTTCATAAACGGTAAGATTCTTTTTGTACCCATTGTTAGGCAAATATTTCAAAAATATTTTCTTCTCAATGCTCAATACGGGCAAACGTGCTGGTTTTCCTTAAAATTTTTTAATGAATTTAATCGATTTTATCAATATCCACAGCATAGTACGCCTTAAACGGCAACTAGCAAATCATTTACGTGATGTTAAGTTTTTTTTTTTTTTTTAAATTAATTAATATTTAATTAGATGTAATAAACAACTGATGTAATGAGGCTTTCATTCATTCATTTCAGTTACATTTCAGTTACATAGTACATGGTGCATTGGAAAGGTATTTTAACAATATCACTGTTTAGAAATCCTCACTTGTTGTTTGTAATTTAAATAATGGACATAGATAATAGCCAATACAGTTAAAAGGAGAAAATCAGGGAAGAAAAACTCAATCATGTTTAGAACCAAAACGTATTGTTGCCTTCCGCCTTGCCTTAAAGCTTTATAGCACTAATAAAACTCCGTCTTGAAGATATGGGATATCCGAATAGCACGGTAAGATATGAGCGGGGCTCTAAACCATTTAACTAGTTTCAAATTCATTTCACATAGGCATACAGTAAGACGACAACCACAGCTGTCTTAAAATGTTACGAATTGTCTCAGTTATATAATTATTGTGATGAGATGCATTTAAACTTGGATTCAGCTCAATACCAAGATTGAAAACAACACTGACAAATTCAACGTTAGTATTCACTGGTAGAGAAATAACATAAGGCGTACCGTGTGATATGGTTATAGTTCAATTTAGTCGTAGATTGTTTTCCTCAGACTAATCGACAATACTGCGTAGATAGTAGATTGTATTCATTCAACACCCGCAAGACCCTCAACAACACCGAACGGCCGCGAAAAATTTATTTGAGCGTCGTCAGCATATAAATGAATTTTTGTATTATGACAAGAGGTTGTCAAATCATTCACAAAGACACTAAACAATAATCGACCTGATATTGAAACTTACCCAGTAACCCAGAGGAGATTTCTCTGAGAGCAGACAACGAACACAGATGCGCTAAGTCTTACAGTTTGATTTCGAAAGTAATGGCATAAAATACGTGATGACAAGAAGTTATCGAGAGTGATACATTCCAATGATACATTCCATTCAATTGGAGTTTCCAGAAGAAATTAATTTTCAAACTGATCGAACTGTAAGCCAATATGTGGCCAATTTTGGGAATTTAAAGAAAAAAGAGAAATCTTTTCCATTCCGTGATTTCGCAAAAAAATTTGATTTGAACTTGGACCAAAAGGAAATATTGGATAAAACAAGATCGCATTATAAACACAATTTTATATATAAGTGGTCGCTAACTAGCTGTTATATTTGACATTTGCATCAAACATGAACATTATTTATTTGGTAAGTTATATGTGAAAGGGATCAGAACAACTATTTTTTTTTTTTTGAAAATAGAACAACGAAAGAAAGAAAGAAAGGGTTCAAGAAATTAATATGTTCTGCGAAATTGTTTACGTCATTTTCGTTGACATTTGACGGTTTGTGTCGATTGATGATGAATGATAGTTAATGTTGTTCTACTTTTAGTTAGTGGTTCAGATTTTCTTGTTTTTTTTTTTTTTTTTTTTTAACGTTTGTCAAAGAATTAAAATAATTCATGCTTGCATTTACTTTATATATATATATATATTTACTTTATATATACACATATATAGATTTTGTATTCAATTCAGTAAATTTATTAATATTCATATAAATCACATTTTTATTTTAAATTTTCTAAAACAAAAATCTTTTATTACTACTATTTATATATATATATATACACTAAACAATATTAACAAAAATATAGGGGTAGAAATAATTTAATAATTCTATTAGTTTTAAAAGAAATTCATATACTTTTCATTATTATTGGAATAGAGATGAGCAGATAAGCTTTGAGAGATAATTAACATAAATAAATCATGTCTAAATTTGTTAAGAACTGATTTTAAATTCGTTTTGCTTTCAATTTTTAGCATTTACTATCTTTTTTTCGTAATTTTTACTAATTTTTTTTATTATTTCTTCAAATAATTAACTTCGCCGACTTTAAATTGAGTCCCATGACTCAAGATTTGAACTTTCTTAAATTCATCTCTTCTTTTAATCTCTCAATTTCAAGTTAAATGGTTTTCGGGGGAAAAAAAAATTATTAAACAAATATCACCGCTTGGCTTAAAACATATTTTGTCTTCTTACACATATTGTTTACCTTTCGTTTCATTTTTTTTCATTTTTCATCTGTTTTTCTACTCTTAACATTAAAATGATAACTTAATAAATAATCAACAACAGAAACTTGCAACTATATATATCTAGGCGTATATGTATAAAAAAAAAAAAAAAAAAAAAATGACAGTTTGAGGCATTACGATAAATAAATTTAACTCTTATGCGTTATGAGTAATTTTAACATAAATTAACCGTAAGTTAATCATATGATCTAGACTATCTATAAAGTTCATTATATATGTATGTACATATTTGCACGCACCAATGGAAGATGTTTTCATCAATCTCGCAACATTTCTATGCAACCGTTCGATTCCGTATGTATTATTACGAAAATCCCATGATTTTATGATTTAAGTGTTTATGAAAACTAGTCGATTTTCCAAGGAGTAACCTTTTTAAACGAAGAAAAAATGAAACACGCAATAATGATCCTTTACCTGCCTCATGCAGCTGGCGACAAGGGAAAAGATTGACAACTATTAGTAGAAATCTAGCGGAAAAAGGCATCAACATTAAGGATATATAATTGGCATTTCTATACAAGGCAAGATTGATTGACTCAAGAGTGTTGAGCTGTTGTAATATCAAAGCGAATGAAAGCGTTGAAAATTTCAAGTCCTGAAAACAATTTGATAGTAGATATCCCAAGAGCTGTATATAAAACCTAGACTATGCTAAATATCATGATTCAGTGGTATGAACTTTACTGTAAAGAAAGTTGAATAACAACATAAAATTCACTGAAGACAGGTTTAAGCTGCAATGTTCAGTTGATGATCGCTGGCCTTTTTTCTTCCGCGTGTTTATGGTACTGGTATGGTGGACTCATGGTCTTGTATAAATAAATGTAAATTTTCGAACCATGCATGCTCACTTTTATATAGGGGCTATTAGGCAACAACAAAATTTGAAATCGGTTTACCTATCATTATTCCTATGAGAATTGCAATTTATTAAATGCTTTATTTATGGTCTATTATAGCCAACTTACTTTCTTACATTTCAGTTATTTACCCTTTTATTTATAAAAGCCATTGTACAAACGCATTAAAATCTCGTACGCTTTATGAGGTAAGCTTGAGCTAAAAATTGTATGCCCTAAAGTTTCAAGCTATAAATTTTTTGCCGTTTCGAAGTGGTTTTCGATTAGACTCAACGCTTTCATTTTCTGCGGATGACATGAAATGAAATATTGCACAGTTAAGGCATTGAACATCCTTATGTAATTCCTCATAGGGTATTATAATAAAAAACGATCATCGAATTAAACAAATTTTAAAACTACACCTAGCTAGTGATAGGATAAATTTTCTCATCGATCTGTCATTTTCATAGTCTGCTAACAAATAGGTCTCTTGCAACAAAATGTCTTTCAATTGCATCGCTTAATCTCTTTCAGTTCGTCTATCATATTTCGGTGTTGAGTATTACGTACAAGCAGTTTTTAAAAGATTTCCGCACGAATTTGCTTTCTTCCAATACAGATATCAAGAATAATAGATGTTTACATTTCTTTCTATACGTTCGGCCAAAGAAAACAACAAATTGTTAACCAAAAAGATTGCGAGAATATTGTAGACTTGCATTCTCTCTCTCAGAAGGAAATTTAAAATCATCGCATTTTGCTATTGCTTGCCCCATAAGCGAGTAAGCGTAGGTATATTTCTTTTATTTATAAAAGTAAATTTGCATGTTTGACTTTAGATGTAGTTCAGATATATGTAAAAGTTTTAAAATTTACGATATCAAGTTCTAGATGAATGAACTATAGGAATTCGCATGAACCGTGACGATCCTATAACATTCATCGTATACATTGCATGTTAAAGTTTGGTACTTTTACGGAATCGTCAGTGCTGCTATTCGAATGCGTTAGGGTGAAACTTCTTTATTATACTTCCAGTGGTGTATATAAATATTGTTACAAGCAAATGATCGAAACGATTGGTGTGCATAACCACGTACGTATAAAATTTAACTATACACAGATACTAATGGCATTAAACTAAAAAAAAAAAAAAAAAAAAAAGTAGAAATAAAAAAATATAATAAAACAATGTATCACTTTTTAGCATTAATAATATGTTATGTGGCAAAAAGAAATGTACAAAAAAAAAAAAAACTATTTACAGTTACATATAAATTAAGAAGACCAACTTACGAATAGATGAGCCATAGCGCCATTTATTTTGGACTTAAACGATCGAATTGGTTTCTTGGCTAACGCCGTTTGCATGAGTGCTATTGAAAAGTGCTTGCGATTGCTCCTGAGACATCTGATATGGTAAAATCTCTAAATCGTTGGGTAAATGACTGGTAGTGTTAGTGTTTGGATTGGCCGTACCGGCTGTTTGAGCTGTCGAATTATTGGTTGTAGGAAGATTGGACGTCTGATTGTTGAGACTTGGATATGTATGGTTTGCGAAAAACGATGTTCTATTCTGCGGTTGCGCAACGGGTTGTGTTGGTTGGGAAATTTGTGAGGTTTGAGTGGTTGGTAAGTGATGCACAGCCGTCTGTAGCAATTTAGCATCTTCACTATGACTCTCGGAGCCCTCATCGCTGATACCAATTGCAAAGTTTAGTGTGGGACTTGACTCGGTAGCCATTTGCATATATGTTAATAACGAGTCTTCGCTGGTATGGTGATGATTAGCATTAGTACTGGAATTGGTGGGAAATGCGTTGGCACTGGTGTGACTATTATGATTGACTGTTGTACTGGAAGAATTTGCATGTGTTGTACTCGTTACATTAGCCGCGTTATTTATGGTGGGCACACCGCTATCCATATGATTTAAACCCGTTTGCGAGCCAGCAATACTTTGCAAAGGTGAGAGATTGAGAAAAGCATCGAATTCTTCTTGAGCGAATTGATCTAAATCAGGTACAGTCCGTGCTAATAGCAAATGTTGCGGATCTGGCTGTTGTTGTGATTGAGGTTGCTCTTGTTGTGGTTGTTGCTGTTGATTTGATTGCATTGTTGCAGTGTTTGCTGCAGGTTGCGTGATAGGTGCACTTGCAGTTGAGTTAAGTTGTGGCTGTTGCTGTTGCTGTTGACTTTGTTGCTGTATTTGTTGTTGCTGCTGCTGTTGTTGTTGTTGTTGTTGTTGTTGCTGCAGATTTTGTTGTTGTTGTTGTTGTATGAGCATTTGTTGATCTTGTTGGTTTTGCATTTGTTCCGAATTCAAAGTAAATCCATATTGATTGAATTGTGATTCCACAGAGTTATTGTTAAAATTATAATTACGAGCTCCACTGCTCACAACGCCAGTTGTAGAATTGTAATTCATCGGCATCATCGGCTGTAATAGAGTGTAGCGTGCCAACAGCAATTGCTCCGACACCATACGCAATTCATCTTGTTGTTGCATAATAATTTTCTGCAGTTCATCGTGCTTACGCTGCAGCTGTTCTTGCAATTGCGTCTGTGTGGGTGTCATTACTACAGCGCCTGGTAACATATCTGTCTGGTTCTTAAAAAAGTAAGACATAGAGTAATTGAGATGTAATCCTTTACTCTTAAGACTTGGTGCAGCTAAATATCTTACCGGCATTGGAGATAAAACGGGTGCTACCGGAAAAGGTGCAATTACTGATTGAACGGGTATTGCGGTCAGATACTGCGGCGGTTCGAGGAAAGTCGGACCCATTATTTGGGGATTACGTAGAGGAAAAGCAGGCTGTGGAAATTGACATGAACTGTTGCCTACCATGCTAGTGGAGGTATGTCCAATAGCATGTTGTGAAAGCATAGGCAAAAGCTTTTGTTGCTGCCCACCATGGTTGTTAACATTCATCTGTAAACTATGTTGTTGCGACGATGTTTGTGTATGATGACTTGGATGATGATGATGATGGTGATGATGAGGGTGATGGTGTTGCTGGTGTTGATGAAGGCTAGACGAAAGTTGAGAGTTCTGTGTTTGGCTGTTTGAAGTATGCAGCGAAGATTGTACCACCCCAGTCGAATTATGCCTTTGTCGACTCTGCGAAAAGAATTTGTCGTATCATTTTTGGTTGAAACATTTAGAAAATGCAAATAAATGACAATAAAATCTTTCGTAAGAAAAAGCTCTAGTCTATATATATAGTCAATTTTCCTCGGAGATTTCTATACAAATACGAGAAAAGTTGCCGTTTCTTTAAGAAAGAAAAAAGCACGCTTATATAGTAAACATCGATCGAAAAAAAAGATTAAATGCAACACTATTTATAGCAATTGTGACTCTAACGGAGCGCTTTACGATATGCGCGCATCGCAGACATCGTTTTAGCTATGTGATAATCAGGGTTATTGACATGATTGTCAATGAGAATTGGTATGAGGAAGCGTAGTATACTCCTTCAAATATAAAAATGAGGTTTCCAATGACTGAGATAACAGCTTACTACAAAAATTGAATCATTTTTCCTCTCTCTGAGCTAGGTCCGAAATGTGCTATAACAGTTAAGATAATCGATTAGCCGCATCATACACGAGTTTATTGGGTTTATTATTGAATAGACAATAGACTTTGCTTGGATGTCGGAACACTGCGAGTCTTGTCAGAAGTTACTTGTTAAGGTTTCTATGGGCTTGCTTTGACTAGACAGACTAAACAGACAGCGCGTTCTCCTATACAAAGGCAGTTGCGAAGGGAACAAGTTCACTATTATAATGAAAGCAAACCGTTTTCGATAATTTTTCCACTACAACATTGTTTCCACTACAACATTGTTTAACTATGAGGCAATAGGTAGCTTAATAATGGGTCATGGAAAAAATTCATGGCATTGCCTCCAACAGACTGATTCAGAGTCGGGTAGATTTGTCAATAATAGATCAACAGTAGTTGCTTTATGAAAAGAAGCTCAAATTCTGAAAAATTTGCTATATTTAAAAATGTCATTTTGACAACGACGATAATGCCGGACTTATGAATAAATCTATAGTGTTAATTGTGAAGAGGTTAACAGCACGCTAATGTTTTAACCACTTTCGGTCTGAAAATTTCAATATTAAAGATGTAACGTACTATTACCCATTAGGAAACGCGATTTACTTCTTCAAAATTCGCATACATTGACAAAATTCTAACTGACATCATGTGAGGACAAGGTTTTGTGCTTAGTAGGGTTGATATTGTGTATCATACGATGTTATAACTTGGCCAGGTGAATGATTCCACAACGACCACAAAGCACACTATCAAGATAAGTCGTCTGGAATTAATCAATAGGAAAAATGTCGTCTTCGAATGTTGCAATGCTCGGTCACACAAATCTTTAAATGCTTAGCAAGAAATTAAAGAGTTTGCCAGGGAAGTTTTTATGCAGCCATGTCCGACCACTACCATAAATGTGCCCTTTCCGTTAAACCCCTGAGAATTATTTGGATCAGTTTTTCGCCCAGATATCTCAGACGTTCTTCCGTGGTGGCACAATGGTTTTAAAAGAAAGATGGAACAAGATTATGGAGCAAAATGTCCTGGGACTTGGATATGAAATTTATTACACTTAATTGGAAAAATTTATTTGAATTTCTATCAAACGGAATTTTTCTTTGGTACAACAAGATCAAGGTTGTAAACTATTTGTGCTATATATATAAAATTGTAATTAGCATTAAGCATACCGAACTCAAATTCGTTATCAATGAATGGCGACTGGTGCCTGAGTCAGCTGATATGGATGTAGAATCGGATTCATTTCCTCGATTATTATAAAAATAACGTTTTCGCTTGACATTCGGTGAAATGCCAGTGGAACTAATGTTACCATAGCTTGAGGCAGGTCTTGAGGTTTTCATAGGATTAATTTGACAACTAACGGCACCAATGCCCGTCGGTGTTGATGAATTCGTCCACAACGCTGTAGTTTCTAGGCTTGGCGATACCGCACTGCTGAGAATACCACTTATTACATTGGCGCCACTACACAAGCTTGCAGTACCGGTAGCTGTAAGTGTCGCGGTTTCCACATTTGTATTCGACGGTTCAAGATCTCGCAAAGTAGCTGTGGACGATTTACCAGATTCCCGCAGCGTCGCCTTATTGATGGAATGGTTTTTTGCATCAGTTTTGCGGTATTTTAAGATGTCCATGTAGTTGACAACTTTATGAGTGCAGACCACATATTCTGGTTTGGCATTAAACTGATTATACGAAACATAAAAATCAGTTTGTAACCAAATCCATTGTTGTCCCTTAGTCAAAAAACGATAATAGCCCGATTTCGCTTTACCGGTTTGCATTACTGAGTGTAAGAAATAAAATGTTGTGATAGAATAACAGTAAAACAAGCAAAAATACAATATAGTACGACACTGTTGATGATTAAATACCCTACATAACCCATATAACGACTATTCAATAAAAGCCGTTATGTGTGAAGTAAGCGAATAAAAGATCAGATCCGAATCATTTTCAATAGCTTGCGTACTTGAGCCAAAGCACGTCAGTGTGCCGGCTTGCTGATTTAGCGCAACGTAATAAGAGAACTAGATGGTCAGACAACCTTAGATAGATTCAGAAAATGATTTCAAGTCCTTCGATTACGAGTGCATAGTTGGATCATTTACATATGAATGCGGCGAATCGAATATTAGCAATTGCAAAAAGTTTACATTTGAATGTGTAATGCATGTAACAGCGATCTAATGGTTTCAGTGTTTTTTCCAAAATTTCCATGTTTATATTGACTTTTACTTCTTTCAGTTATTTTCCAGATTATTGCAGATGTTATGCCAACATAGAAATGTGAGTATTATATTCATTATGACATCGGCTCTACAGGATTTGCATAAGCCTTGTCGAGCTTGCAATATTCGGAATGCTTATAATATATATAATAAAGGCTACGGACCAGCGGACTGTGACAATTCAATTCAATATTTCATGCCCAATGAGAAAAATATATGCAACTTGCTTCGCTGATGAACATAAAAAGTTGAAAGTTTGATTTAGGATAAAACAAAAAACTTACATTCTTCATGACACGTAACTATATTATCAAGATCATCGAAATGATAGTAATCGTAACCTGATGTCCCCAAAACTTCGAAAGGCATATAGCCAATAATAGGCGGTGCTCGATGATCGAGAAAAAGAAATTTCCATTCCATACTGTGCTTCGAAGTGAACTCGTTCCGTGTCGGATCTATCATTGTGATCTCTCTAATTAGCTGAGGCATTTGTAAGCGCCCAGTGCCAACAAATATCAATTTCTTATCAATTTCGATAGTGGAACGCAATTGAAATATACGCGGTAGTGAGTTTTGAGTATTTTGAATGGCAACAGTGTCCACGTTCGCATCGCTTCCTAAAATGATATAAAATTTATTATTAAATTTCTCTAATAGAAATGATTTCTCAAAAATGTACTTACTGAAATAACCTACAAATTTCACTAGCTCATAAGAATTAGTATCACTTTCCTCTACGCCACCACGCTTTAGATGTACAAAAAAACTTATTTGATTCCTTGAACTAATGTCAGTCTGCATAGATTCTATAACAGGTTTCGGATGTAAAAATATATTAAATAAATTCTCATGATCCATTTCATAGGCCAAATCGAATATCGTCATTTTCAAGAGATCATTCTAAAATCGTTGATCAATCGTTAACAAGTTTACAAACCAAACAACACAAAAGAAGAGAATGCGAAAAGCCATATAACTTACCGGTAAATAACCCAATTGAGCAGTTATACTGTCAGAGGCATAAAATATAGCACCGCGACTACTGAAAACTATGATGAAACCATCCAATGATTCGAGCATTAATTGAGTAAACTCATCGTTGCTTAAAAACGACGGTTTCCAATCCGTTTGTATTTCAAAAACTTTCGAACGATCAGTAGCTTCTAGAAAGTTTCATTAAATTAATCGTTTACGTAAATTTCTTTTTCGTAAATTTTCTTTTAATTACCGTTATGATGTTTCAGAAATGCTATGGTAGACTTTAAAACGGTCGATTTGTCCATTTTACGGTTTGAGGTCGATATCAAAGCACTTAAATCATTTACCAAGGAATTGAACTGATCACGACGTTTTTTCTCACTAAGATTTCGAGATCTTCTAAATATAAAAAAATAACATAATAATAATATGAAAAAATATTTACTTTTATTTTTCTGTAATTTATATAAAGAAATTCTATGGCAACAATATATGCTAGTATTTAGCAAAGTCACCACCAAGTCATTGTTTTTCCTCTCGTTGTTTAATATGTTAACTCAAAGCTCACATACATGGGGAAAGCTTTCAACTTAAAAGCTGTTCAAGTTATTTTAATCACTCAAGTTTTTTCAAGTTTTCAATCAAAAGTATAATTAATATATAACGATAACGTGCTTTAGAAAAATTTTCAGTTTTCAAATCATTATAAACGCATATTTTTCGCATTGATATCCAGACGATAGCAAATCCGTTCTTATATATTATATTATTTAGTTATATAAATGCGGGCAGAAAGCATATATTAACGCAATAGGGTAAGATTTTATATTGATTCAATCACCCGTGCACCGGGTCATATAATCTCATGTAAAATTTATATATATTTATATATATTTCATCGTCGTTTCGATTCACGATTGAAAATTAGAAAAAATCGACTTAGGCAAGCTGTTTTCTGATGTTGGAACTATCGTGAAACAAAATAGTGGGCCAAAGGATAAAGAATACATTTTATTGGTGGTACGAAGAAAGACGTTGAGCATGTGTACAAGATTATCTCCTTATGCGACCAATTTATATGAAAATTAATTTCAGGGTCTGATGAGGTATTAACGAGTTGGTGTTTCGTTTCTAACAGGGCAAAATAACTTGTAAAGATTGCTTATATGCATGCTTGACTAGCAAGACAGGATACGTTGATAATGATGAATGGCCTTTTCGGCCGCCTCATTAACCCCACGAAAGTTGATACATCAAACAACGTATTCGAAGTGGTTTGATTCAGATTCAACTTACAGAGTTGTTATAGTCTTAACATTTCAGATTAACAAGCATTGTAGTAATTCTTATGCACTCTACACTACTTGTGGTACACGGTTTATTTCACCGATCTACTCGGAATCATCAATTGAATCGAATTAACTTTCCGTCTGTCCTTCTATTCCCTTGGTATGTAACCAAGTATAACATTTGAGTGCTTTAGCAATCAAATAACTCGGATAAATCTCCAATTAAGCAACGCGTTTCGAGGCATCCAAAAACACGTGGCAAGTGTATATATATGCATTGCTGGTTAGTGCTACTTTCTCGAACGATGTGTCCCTGATTGTTGTTTATTCGTTCACCGGCCGCTTGTTGCCATTCTCGAAGCCGCAAGCATAGAGATAAGAATCAGAAATAATAGGGCCGGCCGAAACTTTATATTATGGTTGGTAGCAGTTGTCCCAAATAAAAAGTTATATGATTTTTCTATGGTCAATATAATTTTAAAATAGTTTCAATTTCTTTGATTTAAGTGTTATTATGCATGTATAATTTATTTATTGTTCAGGTTAACATAAATTCTATTTTAGAAATAACTTTCGGATAACGATTCCACATGTATATGAATAATTTGTAACGATTAATATAATGCAACCCATCACGCAAACCCACAATTGTTACACATTTTACATCTTGTAGTTCTTTACAAAGGCTTGCATATATGTATGTTTTTGATATGTTAAGAACATCACGCATCGCTACAGTTTTCAAATCCATAACCGAAGGATGGGCTTATATTTATTTTATCAAGACGTTTGCGACGCCTATAAGTAAGAGTCAGACGCTGCACAAGATTTATACGGTTTTGATCATTGTTCAATTCACAACCGATCGAGGCATGTCCGTCCGTCCATTTGATCTTTTGTGCAGTGCCTGCAGTAAGCATATTTCTGGTCGCGAATTTGTCAAGAACTTTGTCGATATGCCTACAGTTGAATACGAATTGAAGCGGTTCTTTGGATTTTTGTTTGTTTATTTTTAATAAACACTTACAACGATGAAAATTTGCAGCCGTATTCTATGGCTATGGCGAAATTTAAAAAAAATCATCCACGCCCATTCGGTATTATAGTCCATCCAAATGTGGCTTCTTTGTGGCTTGAGTTTTTCGTTAAGATGAATATGGTGAGTATAAAAGATTCGATCAAAACCGCATTTAATTTTTTTACTTGTTTTTCTTTTTATTTATATATCTAAATATTGTGTGTGTAGATTACGTGTACGTTAATTTTGTTGTTTACTTTTGTGTTTACATAAATACCGGTATAAAAAATTTACTCACGTGAGGGATAGAGAAAAAAAAAGCATCAGAATAAGAGAAAGGAAGAAAGAAAGAATGAAAGAAAGAACGAGATAGATAGATAGATAGAGAGAGATAGGTAGAGAGTTACCGAATAATAAAGATACAATGTGTACATGAAACTAGTCAATCACAAAGTATACATACATGTGTATATTTTTATTTTCATCATCCCAACAATAAATATGAAAAACTAGATATATGCATGCAACTGACATATTATATCACAATGATGAATAAAGTTAAAATAAACGTATAAAATGTATAGATTAACGATAGGATGTTTATCCTTTTTCGGTAAAATTTCCCACTTATATGTAGGCCACATATGCACATGAATATTATTTAACTCAATTAAAGTGGTTGTTATAGCGTCAAACAAATTCAATTTGTTTTATTTTTTTTTCTTTTTTATACCAAGCAACGAAGAACGGACGTATATTGATTTTATAACTTTGTTTGACACGTCGTTAAAGAATTCGTACAATAGATGTAAAACGGTTCAGTCGATGGACACGATAGCCCCCGGTTCATGGTGTCCTAAAAGGTGGCAGAAAATTAAAACAAAGATCGTATATGCGATTTGCTTCCATATATAATAAAATAGGTGCAATACTCACAAAAAAGAAACTAAATTAACAAAATTGAAGCGACTTAGGTCACCATAATGCTTTCTATATATATATATTCATTTTTTCTTTAACCACTCAGGGGATGTCCATCATTCGTGCGACACGGTGAGGGTTTGCAAGAAGTTTGGAAAGTGAAAGAGAGTTGGGAAGATGTCTGCGGTGTAGTGTGCCTGTGTGCTATCGATATGTGCTATGCCTTCACCTACTGAGCACTCATCATAGCAATATACTCTTTTTACAAGAAAAATATACTTTTTAATGCGTTTTCCTGTAATGCTTGGATTGCCATCATGCTTAGGTGAGTGTTCACGTTTAGGTATGCAGAAAAAATGCCTATTCCCTTATATTATTAATTAATTATGTAACGAATACTTAGTTCCGTCAAAGATGAAATAATTTGCGAAGCTATAATAGCGTAGTTGAGCAACGTGTTAAGATTCGTTGTAAGCCGCAAGTGAACCAAGGACTCATCTGCCTACAAGAGGAGAAAAGCATATAATAAAGCTCAGGGATTCATATCGTATTATTTTGTGTCTCCTTTATTTTAAACGAGATCTCTTTCATTCTGAAAAATTCTTCCCTTTGGTAACCGATACTCATCCAAAATAATTAATAATATTTTATACAATAATATATATATATATTCATATATCTAAATATACACATACACGTACGTATTAGAAGATAATTTCTTGTGAAATTTCATTACGTAACATTAGAATGTTTATTCGTAGAAAATAATTTATTTATTTTATTGTTTCATTACTGCATTACTTCATGTCCGTAAGATTGTGGTGTGATTGAAATAAATGCGAAAAGCTTAGATAGATTATTAATGAGGCTTGGGCCGAATCCTTTGATTCCTATTATGTGTTTATTTACATGTTTCTTATTTCTCGGACGAGTTTCTTGCCTTATTAGCACATATATCGACAGTTGAATGGGAATATTTTAAACAACAAAGCATAATTGTGCTCGCCATCGAAGGATAGGGTTACAGGTAAAACTTGTTTTCCCGTCCGTCGAAACAAGGTATATACGAACAATAGGTCGCGTACACTCTACACTTTGGTAAATGTAAGATTCTGAAACCGTTTAGGTTCAACGTATTTGTCTAAGTCGAATGGAGTAAAAAAGCTGAAACGGGGCATATATACTCCGAGTTGATGGTTATAGGTCAATAGACAAATAGACAAAAAACTAGAACTTACTGTTCATAGGAGATGATAACCTGAAACTTGGCCTAAGTAAATTTACGAAAACCCATTTAAAATTTCAACGTGACGTGCACACGCCCACAGAGAGCACGTCAATACAAGGAAAAATACAAGTTATATACTATGGAAGATATTGGTCTTTAATCAGTTAAAAGATTAGTATATAAGTTTCATCTAAGTCAACCAACTGACACGTGTATAATTAACCAAATATTCTGTACTTATAATGTGTTGGTTTGACGTAGTGGGTGTGAAAAGATATAATTTTCATATTTGTGTTTTTTTCTATATAAGTCACGATCTGAATCTCTTTCAATTTGTTTGTTTGTTACAGATTAGGGCTTGAAGCAAAGCAACAAAATCTTTGTTTTATATTTTTTTATTATACAGCATAAAATACGCCTTCTTTATAACTGACTTGAGGTCATTATCAATATCGAATATCTATGAACTTATGTGGCAAATTTTCTTTCTACTTGGTACTCTGCCAACTATGATACAGAAGAACGCGCAGATGATTTTTTAAGGAGATACATATAATTTCTGGTTGTGTTTGTGTGTTTGTTTGAATTACGTACAAAATAACAAAGAAGAATCCACTTAAGCAGAGACGGACATATTACAGATATTATATTAATATCTTCTCTTTTTTTGTTTATATTATGAAAACTTTCCATATTTCCTACTATTGTGACTTAATACTACTTGAAACAATCTATTCGACGGTGTATTGTTCATATTATATTATACAAAAATTGTATTTTAGCAATTAACTAATCTTAGATAGATAGTCACTCTAGTGCGCACGAAAGTAGAAGCAGTCGAATATATAAAATTATTACAGGTTTTCTTTACAACAACGTACGATTACGTATTTATCAATTTAAATGCGAGGAATAGTCGCACATATTTAACAATGATTTAAAT